TTTCTGCTTGCACGGGAACAGGAGCTGGATCGGGGCTGCTTTTATGTATATAGGAGGAATGTATTGTATATATACTGAACATGAATTGTAGGCATTTTGTATGAGTTTGTTAATGTTATGTATAATTTGCTAACTGTATAACATACTTATGTTTTAAACTGTTTTGAAATCTCCCGGAAACCTTTGGGTAACAAGAAACTAACAAGCCTAACAAATAATAACAAGTAACAATATATTAATAAGTAATAATAAGTATCGGTAATAATATGTTAACCCCAAAATCGTGGAGCAATGAGAACAACCAAGCAAAGCGTTTGTGCATAGTGAGAGGAGAATGTACAAAATATATGCAAAAATGAAAGTCAGTGGAAGACAACCCAAATGTTCTTTTTCACAACCGCTCCCCAACCCCTGAAGATGGAAAAAAGAGAAAGGGAAGATATTGCTTCAGAAAAGCCAATTCTCCAGAGAAAGAACAGGCTAGTATTAGCTGGGTGACAGTGAGTGACAACTCTTTCACGTGCACCAGTGTGGCAAAGGAAAAAGAGAGGCTTTAGAAACAGAAGCACAAATGACATCCCATCTCCTTCGCAACGAGTTTGGGCAGCAATACTAACAGAGGTCTCTTGCTCTTGGATTAATCCCATTGTCAAACAGGTTCCTGGCACTAATGATGGTCCCATTTGGGGGCTGTTGTGCAACTTGTCATCCTATCGTCTCACTTTAAATCTGTACAGGATTAGTGCTACAACACATTCAGGGTGACAACAAGTAAAACCCAAACTATGAATCTAGGAGAGGGAGAAAGGGTGGGGTGGGGGGGAACCACAGCAGGTTTTGAACTGAGCCATCGTTCAGTGGTGGAGCACCTGCTTTATATGCAAAAAGTCCCGGGTTCAAATCCTGGCATCTCCAGATATGCTTGGGGATGTCCTATGCTCTGGAGAGCCACTACAGTCAGTGTAGGCAGCACTGAGCAGGATATACCATTGGTCTAACTTAGGATAAGGCAGATGCCTACAGTCCTGTGTCTCCATCCCTGCACTCTGTGTAACTTTAGGACTGGCCTACTGCAATGCACCCTTTGTGGGGCCTCCCTGTTGCTTGATCTGGAAACCACAAATAGTGCAGAATCCTGCCACACAATTACTAACGGGGTTGACATCCCAGCAGCAAACCATACCTGTTGAATAGTGGGTAGACATAGCAGATGACGCAGTGATTTCTCCAAAGCAGCTCTTTATTTGTAAGCTGGAACAGAACTGAACAGCAAACAGCTCAGCCGGCCTGCTTTTATAGGCAGCTGGCTGTCAACATTGTAGCAACAACAACCCAGGGTTTCCCGCCTAAAATAACTGACATGGACCTGAGTGAAAAATATATACACGATATTCCTGGTGGTCAGGGTGAGACCTTCAATACATAACACCCCTCCCCACCGAGATAAGGCATTAGTTACAATCATAGTGGTTCCATTACATACAGCAATACCCTTATTGGTTTCAGTAAGGCACATAAGCATATTAATTGACCCTATTCACCACACAGCTTTACATGTGCAGTTTGTCCAGTGAACATAGTCTTTTAAATACGGGTTACCGGCCTTGCAGATCTCCTTCAGCAGCTTCTGAGGCCACGGCCTCCTCAATGGCTTTCTGCAGTGTGAGGTCTGGCTTGGCGAGGAGATGCCGTTGCAGACGGATGTCCCAGACCCCGTAGACGATTTGATCCATCAGGGCATCGTCTAAGTCTCGGAACGTGCATTGCAGCCTGTCGGAGGTGATGGTGTAGTTGTTGATTGACTCCCCCTCTGCCTGGTTCCGGTGGTAGAACGCATGGCGGGCAGCAATCTTGGACGGCTTTGGCGCGTAGTGGTTGCGGAGCTTCTCTTGGATCGTGTCCCATGGTGTTGCTTGGACTGCTTCAGGTGCAACCAATGCTCGGGCCATCGCGAACACTTCGGGGCCACAAAGGCTGAAGGAAGAGGCCCCGCTTCTGCTCTACAGACCCTCTTGTCAGCTCATTTGCTTGGAGGTAGCAGTCGAACCGAGCGAGGTAGGAGTCCCATGATTCAGAGGCTGGGGCAAATGGATAGGTAAAGGTAAAGGTGCCCCTGCCCGTACGGGCCAGTCTTGACAGACTCTAGGGTTGTGCGCCCATCTCACTCAAGAGGCCGGGGGCCAGCGCTGTCCGGAGACACTTCCGGGTCGCGTGGCCAGCGTGACATCGCTGCTCTGGCAGGCCAGCGCAGCACACGGAAATGGCGTTTACCTTCCCGCTAGTAAGCGGTCCCTATTTATCTACTTGCACCCGGGGGTGCTTTCGAACTGCTAGGTTGGCAGGCGCTGGGACCGAACTACGGGAGCGCACCCCGCCGCAGGGATTCGAACCGCCGACCTTTCGATCGGCAAGCCCTAGGCACTGAGGCTTTTACCCACAGCGCCACCCGCGTCCCATTTGGGGCAAACGGACATCCCTGCTTAAAGACCTACACTAGCTGCTGATTCATTACCAGGTCTGTTCAAAGTGTAACTATTGGTACATAATGTCATGAGACAAAGGTTCTTGAGAGGAGAAGAAGTAAGGCAAGGCCTACAAGGCCCACACAATCATTCAAGCCTGCTAACTGCTAACTGTTAACAGCAAACTGCTGAATCATTGTGACTCCTTCTCTCTATAAATTTGTATCCTGTTTGCAGGCAGGCCCAGTGTAGTGTCTGTGCTGTTGTTGTAATGCATTGCTGTGAATGTAAAGCTAAGGCAGACAGAGTGGCTCCAGGACTCCAGTCAATCAGTAACTAAGATATGCCTCTGTGAAGAGTCAGAGAGCTGCTATGAGCGCTCTGTGCATGCTCTTTAACTATGCTGTTTCTGAACAAGTTTATTTTATTCAGTAAAGTTTTATTCTGTTTATAAAGAAGACTCTGCGTTGATTAATTTACCGTTGCTTCCAACAGCTTTGGACCAGTTTACTTGGCCTTCCTTCATATGTGTTCACTTGACTGAGTCAGTCTGTGGAACAGCCACTTTTAGTAGTGCCATAAAATGTTTCTTCTGCAATTGCGGTGCCTTCCATCAGTTTCGGCTGGTGGACCAGCTGCACCCCTATTTGGACAGCAGTAGCCTAACATTGATGCATTAGGTTAGGTTATTGCAGCACGTTATATGTAGGGCTGCCACTGAAGACAGTTCGGAAACTCCGGCTGGTACAGGATTTGGCAGCCAGGTTGCTCACTGGGACAATTAATTTCTGGGCCCAATTCTAAGTGCTGGTTTTGACCTATAAAGCCTTAAGCAGCTCAGAACAGCAATACCTCAAGGACCGCCTCTCCCCATATAAACCATCCCCGAGGCCCTTTTTCGGGTGCCTCCCTCACGAGAGGTCATGAGGGCAGCAACATGAGAACAGTGCTTTCCTGCAGTGGCTCCCCATTTGTGGAATGCTCTCCCCAGGGAGGCGCACCTGGTTCCTTTGTTACATATCTTTAGGAGCTATGCAAAAACGCATACAGTGGTACCTCAGGTTAAGTACTTAATTTGTTCCGGAGGTCTGTTCTTAACTGAAACTGTTCTTAACCTGAAGTACCACTTTAGCTAATGGGGCCTCCCGCTGCTGCCGCGCCACCGGAGCACGATTTCTGTTCTCATCCTGAAGCAAAGTGCTTAACCTGAAGCACTATTTCTGGGTTAGCAGAAGTGTATGTAACCTGAAGCATATGTAACCCGAGGTAGCACTGTATCTTCAACCAGGCCTTTGGCTCATTAACATTCCATGGCCTTTTAAATGTTTCTGCTGGGGGAGGGGGTTATTGGTTTGTTTTGCTTTTGCTTTAGTTTTTTAAATTGTATTCTGTGTTTTCATTTTGTATTTTTATGTTGTGAACCACCCTGTGATCTTCAGATGAAGGGCAGTATACAAAAATAATCAATCAATTAATTAATTAACAACTTGAGAGGTATAAGGTTTTTGTTTTGTTTTGTTTTTTAGTGTGGCGTTGCACCTCTCTCCACAATTCCGAGCTCAAACTTGAATATTGCTGTGAAATGTATTATTTTCAAACGGCAAAACTGGCAATATAAGTCAGTCCCTCCCTGCCCCCCACCCTAGAATTGTTAGAAACTCTCATGTTGGCTTTAAACATGCCTTCTCCTGAAACATTAACATAGCCAGCCAGCTAGGATCAGGGAGAGGAAAAGGAAAGAAAACCAAATGAGAACCAGCAAGTGAAGATCACGTGATCACCTCCTGATTTGTTTCCAGCTGTTTTCTAGTCATTAGCTTTTAATTTCAACAGCTGCCTCTTTGTGCTTCTCTCCCCCTACACACCCCAAACTCAGGTATTTTGTGCTGTTAAAGTGATTGTCAGTTCTGTTCTGCTTGAAAGGTTTCAGTGTATGTTGCCATGGCCACGGGTACCAGAATTGGAAATAAATGAAGGGGGGGGGCGGGATCTAGGAATTGACATGGTGCTGATGGGGAGCTATGAGCCAAAAGGTTGCCTATTAGTGTTGGATTTGGTTTGGCTAAAAGGAAAAATGCTAGATATGGTAAAATAAAAGGAGAATCCCCTGGGTGCCTAGATCCAGGTTTGGGTCAAGTACTCTTTGGTTGTACTCTTTAGCAGTTTGAAAGCATGTCAAAGTGCAAGTATATAAACAGGTACCGCTCCGGCAGGAAGGTAAACGGTGTTTCCGTGTGCTGCTCTGGTTCGCCAGAAGCGGCTTAGTCATGCTGGCCACATGACCTAGAAGCTGTACACTGGCTCCCTTGGCCAGTAAAGCGAGACGAGCGCCGGAACCCTAATGGTCAGGAGTCCCTTTACCTTTACTCTTTGGTGAGAGAGCCTCAACAGAGATTTCAAATCACAAAACATCCAGCAAAGTAAAGAATGGAAAATTAGGCTGGTAGACCTTTAAAATATCTCCTCCTAAGTCATTTCTAAAGCCTCTTAGCATAGAAAAAGACCACACATTTGGTAAGTTAAAAATGGCTTACTTACAAACTTTTCAATGGTTAGATTCGTGCGTTTTTCCTTACAGCCCTAAGAAAAGACAGACAGTAAAACTTAGTTTCCAAAATGGTAACTGTTTCCAAATTATTTATATAGAAACACAAAGATTGCTTGCTTAACCCACATAGATTGAACTTTGGGCATCCAGTTTAGATCTTCTTTGTGGAGGTTCACATTGTGGAAAAGAGTGAAAACAAAGAGTTTGATCACCCTTCCTGCCAAGGTGAGCAAGCTGTGACCTAGCTAAGCCTGGCAGGACAGCTTACTCTATGGTCTTAACCCCTTCATGCATTATGGTTAAGCATGTTGGTTATATGAGGCTGCTTATCCCACAATTACTTTGGCAGATTCTGCAATGTCTGCTGGAAAATCTGTTTTAATAGAATGCCTAAATCCTTCATCGGAACATGGATTATAGCTAAACAGAGCTATCTATGCCTGGATTCATAATAAATAAATATATTAAAGAAGAAAAAGGAGAGAGAGTCTATAGCCAGTGGGGGGAGTTGGGGAACCTCAGAGGTTGGGGGTGGCAATTGTGGCCATCCAGTCCTCTCTAACTGGCCCTCAGGGCTCTTCCCAGGTCATATCCCATACCCAAAGCAACCCCCTTTGCTCCCTCCTTGGGTCTTTTTTGGCCGGCTGGAATGTGTCCACAAACTCCAATAATGCTTGTTTATGTGCATGGAGGATAGAGAAGGGTGTAGGAGTCTGTGTAGCGGAGACTATGGTGTCTTTGGAATATATGGTTTATTTACACATATATGCAATCTGAGCCAGGATGAAGGGAGTGCAGAGCATTCATATCTCAAGAGGAGAGAGATGGCTCTTCTCCAGCCAGACTCATCTCTGCCTCTTGGCATCCCTCCTCTCTTGCTTCAGCTCCTGCCTCTGATTCTGGACTTCTCTCTGCCATGGACCCCCTTCCTACTAAACCCTGTTACCTCTTTAGCTTCTGACCATCCCTCCACTTCCACTAGGTGTGAAGAGGAACGGAGAGAGGAGGCAGAGAAAGAAACGAAGGTGTTGGCTGACTGGCAGGCAAGCCCCACTCCTGAGGCTGGTGGCTGGACTGCTGAGGGAGGGAGGGAGGGAGTGGGTGAGCATCAGGCGGCCATCCAGAGGCCTGACTGAAGTGTGCTATGCTGCCCGGGGATTCGTGAGACATTGCCTGTTCGGAAATTCTGTTTTTGTCTTAAAATTATAAGTTTAAACCGGTTTCAGGCAATACCTTGCCCAGGGCTATTGGACAGGATTTCTGCCTTGCAGGGAGTTGTACCAGATGACCCCCCCCCCGGGTCCCTTCTGGCTCCACAGTTCTATGATTTGACTACCAACTTCTGAGCAGCATCGAGTTCTGGAACCCAGAGTTTTGGAACTGTTTGACTTCTTCATTGGCAGATAGAAATGTTGGAAGTGCAACAGTGACGACTTGTGGCAGAAAACATCACGACAATGAGAACTGTCTGTCTGTGTGCGTGTGTGTGCGTGTGTGTCTCCTGCCCGATTCACATGCTTTTTAAAATATTTATTTTATTTAAAATGGTATAATAATGCTTTAAATGTATGGCGTAAATATGGTCACAACCAGGCAAGGTCATTTAAGGAGGTCATGGAGCAAGTCTGAATACATGGGTGAATGGAGGAGAGTCTCAAGAGTCCTGAGGGCAGTATTTCGACCCAGGGCTGGAGGTTCTCGACTCTTGCCCTGAGGAAATGCAATCCCTGGCATAAAAAAGCAGCTCATTCCCGATTACAGGCTTGCACTCTAAAAGGGCAATTCTTTTCATGTGTATTCAGAAGTAAGTCCCATTGATCTCAATAGAGCTTACTCCCCTACTGTGGATCCCAGATTCAAAATATTTTTGGCGGTTTTTCTGAGCAATCTTTTCAGAAATACATGTTGGGGAATGGGTTGATTGCTTTTACATGGGCACAAATCACCCCTTGCACCAACAGATGCCTGGTCAGATAAGCAACAGCCCAGTGCCATCTTATAAGTAATTAAGAAAGGCCAGCTCATTACTGAGCCAGTGAGTCTCGAGAAGTGAGTAAGAGTCTGTGTTGCATCTTGAATTGCTGGAGCAACAACAACAACAAAATACTTCGTACTTGTTTATATCTATAGCTGTAAAGTCTACAAGCTGTATGTACAGTGAGAGGAAAAAGTATTTGATCCCCTGCTAAATCCCCCCCTCACTTACCAAATGGGTATGTATGTATAGGGTAATGTATACACAGGGGTAATAGCCATAGCTCAGTGGGCAGAGCAGCTGCTTTCTATGACGAAGGTCCCAGGTTCAAGCCCCAGCATCTCCTAAATAGGGCAGAAAGTCTCCACCTTGGAGACCTGCAGTAAGCTACTTACCTGGATGTATAATCATTTGCTCCATGTGGGGTAGCTCTGCTGGTAGAGCATGAGACTCTTAATCTCAGTGTTGTGGGTTTGAGCTCCACATTGGGCAAAAGATTCCTGCATTGCTGAGGGTTGGACGACATGATCCTTGTGGTCCCTTCCAAGTCTGCAATTCTGTGATTCTATGTCCAGAACGGTATTACCGAAGCCTAATCATCTGCAGCAGCAAACGGTTTTGGACCTTAAGCTGCCTCTGTGTGGTGACTGGAACTGGGGGCAACTTTTCCTCACCTTAGATTCCTGGCGATAAGGTCCCATCTGCAGTGTCGAAGGTGGCCAGTTTGCCAGTAGCTCAACAGCTGTTAACTGGGAGTTCCAGTCACAAATATGCAAAGTTTAATGGGGATGCAGCAGCAGCATTTGTAGATCTCAAGCTGGTTCACAGCATAGAAATACAAGACAAAAACAAAACAAAAACAAAACAAAAACCCACGCACAACCTCCCACAAACACATTTTAAAGGATATAAGATATTAGTGTGGCTGAAGAGGAACATTTCACCTGGTGCCTAAATGTGTATAATGAAGGCACCAAGCAAAATTGCCTCAGGAGAGCATTCCACAGACGGGAAGCTACAGCAGAGAAGGCCTGTTCTTTATATATAATTTTTTATTTGTTTTAAACACATTTATATTGTCATACATTTTACAAATTTCCAGCTCTTATACAATCTTTTGGACTTCCGTCAGCTCCTCTGATGATCTCCCATCTTTAAGATTTCTCCTGCATTTCTTAAATTTATATTACCTTTAAGCTCATAACCGATATCATCCCTTTCATTCAATCAGACAATAATTCGAATTATTCCCCTTACAAAACTTCCTGCAAACCTACAAATGTAATCGAATCATCACAATTACCGTATTTTTTGCTCTATAAGACTCGCTTTTTCCCTCCTAAAAAGTAAGGGAAAATGTGTGTGCGTCTTATGGAGTGAATGCAGGCTGCACAGCTATCCCAGAAGCCAGAACAGCAAGAGGGATTGCTGCTTTCACTGTGCAGCGATCCCTCTTGCTGTTCTGGCTTCTGAGATTCAGAATATTTTTTTTCTTGTTTTCCTCCTCCAAAAACTAGGTGCGTCTTGTGGTCTGGTGCGTCTTATAGATATAGAGCGAAAAATGCGGTACTTTTCATATAGTCCGTAAATTTATGCCAATCTTCTGTGAATCTCTGGTCCAGCCGGTTTCGGATTCTTCCCGTTAATTTGTCCAGTTCTGCACAGTCCATCAATTTCATCCTCTACTCTTCTTTCGTCGGTAATTCTTCTTGCTTCCATTTTTGTGCCAATAAAATTCGTGCTGCCGTCATTGCATACAAAAACAACTTACTATCACTTCTATTTATATCAGTTCCTACAATGCCTAATAAAAATGCTTCTGCTTTTTTAATAAATGTATATTTCAACATTTTCTTCATTTCATTATATATCATTTCCCAGAAGTTTTTAACCTTTTTACATTCCCACCACATATGGTAAAATGTTCCTTCTTTTTCTTTACATTTCCAACATTTACTGCTTACCTTATACATTTTTGCAAGTTTAACGCGTGTAATATACCATCTATAAAACATTTTCATCACATTTTCTTTTAAGGCATTGCATGCAGTAATTTTTAAACCTTCTTTCCATAATTTCCCCCAATCATTCAGTTGTATATTGTACCCAAAGTCTTTAGCCCAATTAATCATAACCGACTTTACCTCTTCATCCTTTAAATGCCATTCCAGCAATAATTTATACATTTTCGACAAAATTTTACATTTATTACTTAATATCTCAACTTCAAACTTAGACTTATTTTCATCAAATCCTTTTTCTTTATAATCCTTTTTAAACATTTCATTTACCTGATGATAGTGTAACCAATCTCTAACATATTGTTTGACTTCCTCATATGTTTTCAACTTCCATTTACTTCCTTCTTTCTGTAGTAACCTTTCATAAGTTACCCAGTTCTTCTGCATATTGATCTTTTTCACACTCATCACTTCTAATGGGGATAACCAGTGTGGTATTTTTCTTTCCAATAGGTTTTTATACCTATCCCATACTTCTATTAGAGATCTTCGAAATATATTGTTTCTGAGAAGGCCTGTTCTTGTGTTGCCATCCTTTGGGCCTCCCATGGAAGAGGCACACAAATAAGGGCCCCAGAAGATGATCTCAGAGTCCGGGTAGGTTCATGTGGAAAGAGGGGGTCCTTGAGGTATTGTGGTCCTGAACTGTTTAAGGCTTTATAGGTAAAACCAGCACTTTGAACTGGGCCTGGAAAGTAATTTGCAGCCAGTTCAGTCGGACCAGGATTGGTGTAATATGCTCAAGTTGTCTTGAGTAATAACGTCAATTCCTGCCTGTCTGCTGCAGCGTATTATTTTTTTTACATTCACCGCACGTAGCCCTTTAAAATCCAGAACCAGAAGTACTAATAACACAGCTTGTGGGACATTTTGTAGAGTTTGTGACTAAGCCGGCCTAGAAAGTAGAAGATTGCCTAGGGCTGCTCCAGATTTAATGAACCAGATTTATCAAATTACGTTCCTTGCCACACTTGTTGCACGACTCCATTTTCAGTGTTGCCTCCCACACTTGAAAGATGGAAAGGGAGTTGATGCTGCAGGCTATTATGCCAGGAATAGAAATCCACTGAAACCCAGAGTAGTGGAGCCCCATTCCCATGGCTACGGGAAGCGCCACGGTGGTAGAGTCTTGGCTTGGCATGCAGAGGGTGCCAGGTTCAATCCCTGGCATCTCCAGGCATGGCCAGGAATGATTCCCTGCATGAACCCCTGGAGAGCCACTGCCAGTCAGGCAGACA